TCCTCTGTGCAAAATATTTATTCAGACATCTTAGATTATTCGTAAAAGGTGCTAGGACAATCGATCGTCACTCATAATCTTTTGTGTTTTACTGAACAAGATAAACGACACTCAATTTCTTGTAATTTAAGTAGACATAACATTGAGACAGAAATTTCTATGACTAACATGTTAGTATACATTGAGTATTGACACGTACTCTATGTGATCTAATCCTCAGTGTTGTTCCATTTAGAGTGAGAAAAAATAGCTGTGTTATTTATTTTGATCATTTTATAATATTTTTTTCTGATTTTAAATCGCTTCCTAGAATTTTTGTTCTATTTACCATCCATACAATCGCCATAGTACACTAAGGGGGTCTAAGTAAACACAAAATTACAGTACGATTCAATCGTTAAAAAACGATTAAAGTGATTTTTTGCGTGGATGATACAGATTATTACAGAAAGAATAATATAAATAATTAACCGAAAAAGTCAGAAATAATAAATTTTAGACAGTTAAATATTGTTCGACAAATTTATTTCAATTTTAATTATTTATTACAATTTAGTGACACTTCTTTCTTCTTTGAAGATGATCTTTTCAATGTATCATAAAAATCGTACAAATAAATTAATCACGAAAACAAAACAAAATGGAAGAAAAATAGAGCAGGCTATACATTTCTTTGAGTCCAATTTCATAGTGGTACAGAAACTGAGACGATTATAATACCAACCAGGTAGGTGCGAATCTTCTACGTACCACTATGAAATTAGACTCAAAGAAATATATAGCCTGCTCTATTTTTCTTCCATTTTGTTTTGTTTTCATGATTAATTTATTTGTACTGTTTTTATGAAACATTGAAAAGATCATCTTCAAAGAAGAAAGAAGCGTCACTTTAATTGTAATAAATAGTTAAAATTGAAATAAATTTGTCGAACAGTTTTTAACTATCTCAAATTTATCGATAACTTTCCTATCAACAAAATAGGTCAGAAATAATGCAAAAAAATGATTTGTGTTGTTAACATTATTTTGTTATCTTTTTTAACCATTTTTACTTAATCAGAAGTAATCATTTTAATGCATCACATAAAAGCATTTTCAGCCATTTTTTGTGACCGTTTTACATCATTATAATTATGTATATTTTTAAGCATTTTAATACCATTTTAGGATTTCGTTCCCTGCCTGGGATGTTTCAGTAACTTTTATCATAGCATGATTGATTCGGTACATTTTGGGACCTATCAGGATCTACGCTTTGTCAATCTACTGTATATTATTGTATAATGCCTAGTGGTTTCGATTGCAATCTAGTTGTCTCTGATAGGTTGAAATGGATTTTGTTAAAGTGTAATCAATTATTGTAATTTGTGACAGTTATAGGCACACTTCGATAAATCTGTGTTAAAATATGTTAGAACTCTAGGATCTGCTTTTTCTCCGTTGGCCTGAGGGTTCAGAGCTTAAGGCAATCCGCTACTATAGTTTCAATCTTGCGTCTCCTTTAGAAAATCTGAAAGAATCTTTCAGGACCCTGAATCTGAAAACTTCTGCTATATTTTATTCAGGATTCTGTTTCGAATTTTAATAATACTGAGTTACAGGATATCTCATTGTGAAAGAGGATTCTTCTCAACATTTCTTTAAGCTCCTGCTCACGCTTTTGATTATCTAATAATGAAGAATTTGACTAGAGTTCACTGTCGATCTTTCATTACAGAAAGAATGCCTATTAGATTTTATAAATATTTTACTATGATAATTTCTGAATCTTTGAACTATGATTCTTCAGAACTTACAGCTAAATTAGGTAAAGATTCTACAAATAATAATACAGGAGCAGTCGGAATGATCAATTGGTAGATTCTGTCAAGGTTCAAGCGCGATTCTATCTCATTTTCTTATACATTCCCGCTACCAATACCTTTTCTGAATGTTTGCAGAATTCTGTTAAGATCTCTTCAGAGACAAGCATTCCGGATCCTTGTTAAAGAAGGCCAAGGATCATCAGGATTTTTCTGAAAACATATTAGGACTGAACGAAGATCTGTATAGTTTTGATTTCGAGTACGCTCAAAACTTGCTCTCAAGGATTTTAACAAGAGTTATGACAGATCTGATTCAGGATTTTGAAAAAACACTTATGAAGTCCATATATGGAACTGACCTACTTTTTTTTCAGACCGGTACTGGTAAGCCGGTCCGACCGGTAATGCCAGTCCAGACCGGCACTAAACAGGAGAGCGATGGTCGATCAGTTAATCAGGAAAATCTAACGTCTCCATAAAATATTGGTGTACAAGCAACGCATCGAGACATAACCTAAAGTCGTTCAATACTCAATTCTCTCTCGAGGATCACTTGGGTGCCGGTACCTTTAGCGGTATAGTGCTTCTTCATTGGCAATAATCCCTTCATCAAGACGATTCTAGAAATCTATTGTTAAACTAATCACTATGTGATCCGCGAGATGAAGGTTGATGGTAACTATTTTTCTGCATGAATAGAATCAGACGGAGATTTGTAAACTATAGACCAATTTGACAGATTACACTGGTATACACCGGTGAGACCGGCATTACTGGTCAAGACCGGCTGACTGATATACCGGTCGATCCAAAATCCAGACCGGTACCGGTTCCATCTATGATGAAGTCACTTCACCAAAATTTTTATCAGTTCCTCTTGAGGATTTTTTGAATATTTTCAAATCTTTAAAACGCAGCAAATTACACACTGCATCTCAAGCAAAATATCAATAGCAACAAATCGAAAAGCCACTCAAAATTTTACTATGTGCTTTGTTCCAACTCTGACAGAAATCAAGGAATCCAAGCGCTCTCCTGAATTTCATTCAAATATTCATTTGTATCAGCATTTGAGTGAATGGAAGAATTTGGGCAAAATTTCAAAATATTTTTCTGTCAAGCTTTTGAAGATTTATATTCAATATGATATGACATTCATATCACGATACCCAGTTATCTTACGAATTTTATTTTCATAGAAAACTTAAAAACTGATTAAAATGGACAGTTGAATATCAATTTAATTGTTGCACTAGCTTTGTCTTACAAAAAAATTTTAGTAACAGACGAGTTCTTCAGTAAAGATCGTACGGGATTTAATCAATGCAAAATGGGTCAAAATCTCTCTAAAATATTGCTATGACCCTTAAAAAAAGTCGTGTTTAATTGACGCCAACACGTTTTGTAAGGATTTGCTCTTGTGTTAACGCACTCCTTGTTTAAATTCCTTGGGAAATAGCTCAGGATCTTCACAGAATCATGTTATAAATCTTGTCGAGATCTTAAAATTTCATGGCAACACGATTTTCTCAAGTACTGATGCATCAATTCCTAGAACATGGAATTATAGGTGATCTTTTTTCCTAAGAAGTATACAACTGTTTGCGGATTACCTGTATCATCCAAGACCAGTTCTTTTCACTCTATTCGAAACTGTCGTCAGAATTCATGATGCATGAAAAAATGGCTTTGGATTTTACCTAGATTTTAATAAAAATTCGACTTTTCAATTTTTTTTCGACCAATTCCCGTGAAATCCAACTCAATTTTAGACTTATCTTTTGGATCAGCCAAAACTTCAGAATAGTTTTGAAAGGAGCGTTCAAAACTGAGCACAACTAATATTAAAAGCCGGCAACAGGACGACAACCCTGAAGGCTGTAAATATTTAAAATTCTGATTAGAAATTCAAGTAATTGATAGGAATTGGCTTTACACTGTTCAGAAAGCCAAATATCTAGAATTCAGAGTTGTTGACCTGGTATTCATTGTTCTTGTCGGTTATGTTCAGTTTTGAAGACTCTTTTCAAAACTATTCTGAAGTTTGGGCTAATCGAAAGGATAAGTCTAAAATTGAGTTGGATTTCACGGGAGTTGGTGGAAATAAAATTGAAAAATCGAATTTTCAGCCAAATCTAGGTCAAATCCAACACCTTTTTTCATGCGTCATGAATTCTGACGACAGTTTCGAATAGAGTGAAAAGAACTGATCTTGGATGACAGAGACAATCCGCAAACAATTGTATTCTTCATTAGGAAAAAAAGTGATCTTTAATTTCATGTTATAGGAATTGATGCATCCCTATTCTGAAGATTTAGCAGATTCTTGGTTTATTTATGACTGGAAAACTGTGGAAAATTGTTTATGATCTTGAATGGGCTGTGATTTAAGTTCTATCTGTATCCTAATATTCTGTCGGTACATAATTGTTTTTCAGATTTTCTCGTTCTCATTAAAAAAACAGTAAACCAGTGCAGGACACGTGTTGCAGATGTCAGAGATTTAGCTTGAAAGAATTCGAGAGTGTCTCTAGCAAAAATTTAACGTTATGTATTACAATATATTGGAGTGCATAAGCATTTCAGCAGAACCCAATAAGCTCCATAAGAATTTGAGATCAATATGGAAAACCTAAATACTCATGTATCCTATTTGACCCTATGAATTGCAGAATTCATCGAGATACATCAAAATTAATCGCAGCACACCAGAATCTCACTGTCCATAATTTCTTTCTTTCTTCTTTATCAACAATTTTAGGGTTGATTCCTCGTCTGCTCCCTTAGTTTTCAAGGATTCTAATGAGCCTGCATGAATTCCAACAGGTCGTGGGATGCACTTCAGAATTTCTTCTTCTCTTTGTGAAATAGAGTAGTCAAAGTTGTATGAATAACACATGATAATCATATTGATTTATTCAGAACATATTTTGAATTATACACTCCTATTTTATGAATCTCGCTTGATTTTGTTGCTTTTGTGAATATACAGAACATTAATCTATGCTGATAAATTATAATGAGATCTGGTGGGTCCAGATAGATCCCAAGATCCATCAGAATTCACCAAGATCCGCTTTTTCCCCATTGATTCAGTGACTTTTGAACTGTCTTTTATATGAGAGATTGCCTTTATCTCCGAAATCTATGTCAAGATCTTCACTGTATTCGAACCTACAGAATTTTCTTGATGGATCAATACCCCATCAGGTTACTAGATAACACAATCACAAACATCTCGAACTTACCAGGTGGTCCATACAGGATAAGACCCCGATGAGGTTTAATAAGATGTTTATCGGTATATTGCTGTGGTGTAGTCAATTCTAATTCCATCGTGTTCAAACGTGCCTTATATTCTTCGATTTGTTTTTCCAAATTATTTTTCTCCTTTTCCGAGATATCTTTTCTAAAAATTGCATCCTGTAATTTTTCATAGAGATTTAGCTGATCTATCTGCCATCTGTCATGAAGTCGATGCAGTGCTTCTGCTCTATATTGTTGTTGACAATTATCGCTTGAAATCAATGTTCTTCGTGCATTTGTATAAACAGTCTCTCCAACTTCGATACGTTTTTTTAACCTAAGAATTGCATCGTCTAATTCCTGATATCTTTCCATTTCTTCAGCCAGCTTGCCCACATGTTGTTGTACGTCGGCACATAGTTGATCGCGTCTTTTCAAGTGAGTAAGATGTTCATCGATGCTTGATTGACGTTTCAAGTGTAGTTCATGATCGGAAATGGTGAGTGGAAGAAAGAATTCTTTTATTTTCGGAAAGAGACCATCATCAGCAAAGCCTTCCGCGCGCATCTCTTCAAATGCTATATCCAGACATTTAGCTTCAACCCGAGGCAAGGCGCCATGACTTCGTATGATTTCTTCATCGCGCAATGTATGCCAAATCAAGAGCTTGATCAAATGTAGATTGGCAAGGATCTCAGAGCAAGAATAATGTGGATCGTCTACAACAAACAACCCCTTCAATCATGAATAGCATTGTACTCACCTAATGAACATTTTTTCTTTTCTTTGTATATAATCACAACCGACCTGAAGTTGTAATGGATTCTGCCTGCTTGTTGTTGCCATCTTTCGGATCATTGCTTATTCGTTGACGTCTTTCTCCACTAGCACATTCTCGTTCTCGATCAACGGCCGCTTTCAATATTTTTTTTGCATTCATGGGCAATGAATGAATGGCATCCCATTCGGATTGACGTAAATTGGTCAAATGTTCAAATGTTAATATGTCTTCTTTATGAAGTGCACATAGCCATGCGTCACCTCGATCATTATTCTCCTGATCGCACATATCGTAAATGAATGCATCAAGTGAAGCCGTGCGTGGTCTGTCGGTATGCGATGATGATGACTTGGATGAATCACTGCGCTGGATACGAGAGTAGATTTGAACATTGTCAGACAGGCGCCATCGAGGAGGAAAACGAGCGTTACTGCCTTTTTCATGCGGTTCCAATGTCAACTCAAATAGGCCATGCCAATGATCATATTGCCATGTACTAAAATCATCAGTCAAGTTGGCAGGCTCAATAAGACGCAAACGAGTTGAATTCCGATGAGCACTCGATGTCACGATGCCATGATCGTGCATTTGCTGTCGAACGAACAGGTGAAGTGGGCAGTTAACAGGAAGAACAAACTGCTCGTTGTCATACATTGGCATTGACATTGATTCTGTTGTACTATACACAAAGAAAAATTCATTTTAAAACAGATTGATAACTTCTTACTTCATTTCTGATTGATTTACGACATTGACTGGTTGCAGCAGAAATGAATGAATGAAAGTGACAACTTCTGGAATAGCTATCTTAATGTTCAACAAACAAACGATGTCCGTGAGAACCGTTGAATTGTTTTCGATGGTCGATACTGATCCAGCTAGAAAATTAAACAACGATATGAATTGGAGTCATTGCATCAGAGCCATGACCCACGTTGCTCAATGATTTCCATCGTTTTCGATTTTCATTTTGATTGCGGGTAAAGGTAGTATTTGGGGTGTGAGCGTTGATAGTATTTTCTATATCACACACATTAACACGCACACCCACACTCTGCAGCGAGTGAGGGGGTCGTTGCAGGTGGGTGCGGGAAAAGGTGTCTGGGGAGTTAGGGCGGGTATAGGAAAACATGTCGAGGAGGGGGGTGACACAGTATGGTGCGGGAAAAGGTTTGAAACTGAAACCTACAGTTTGAAACTTGAAACTTGAAGAGGAGTTTTTCAAGTGAATTCAAGTTTCAAGTTTGGCACTACTATCCGGTTCCGGGTCCTGGTCTGAGTCTGATCCAATGGACTTTACCCATCACACCCAGTCCTTCAACATCGTCAACCGCCACACTACATACACACCCAAACATCACACCCTCGCCCTCCAAGATGGTCATAGCAATCTGGAAAGGCTGATTCTGGGTGTGGGAGCGTGGATATGGGAATATAGGTGGTGGAGTGTGAATCGGGAATATAGGTGGGGGAGTGTGAATCGGGAATATAGGTGAGGGAGTGTGAATCGGGAATATAGGTGGAAGAGTGTGGGTGTGGCAGTGTAAGTTGGGAAGTGTGAGTGGCGGATACAGGTGTAACAGCTCTCAGATGAAAGCTCAGGTCAAATGAGCGAAAGAACTGGTCGAACAGATCAGATCAGCTCAGATCTAGAGAACCGATCGGACAGTTCGCCAGATCTAGGTATGCACCGAGCCCGAACTTCCAGAGTTCGGTGTTTCCGGGGTTTGTTCATTCCCAGTACCCAAAACACTAGATTTAGTGATTCGTGCACTTTCGTCTGCATTAGGCATCTATAGAAGCCGGGAATGAGCGAACCCCGAGAAGTTCGGATCGATATTCCAGGTGTAGTCTTGGTTTCTCCTAGTTTCTAACAATGACTCAAATAAATAAATAATTAAATTCAGCATTTCAGGTACTGGGAATGACCGAACCCCGGAAATACCGACCCCGGATTTTCCGATCTGTACACGAGCTCGGTGCATGCCTAGTCAAATGAGAAGTAAAACCGAACTGTGACATTTCTAGTGGGGGAATGTAGGTATTGGTGCAATAGAAACATAAATCCCCATTCCATACGCCACACTCCACGCACCGACACCCACCCGAAATCATTATTCTAATCATACCATTAGTTATATTCATGATTGTGCTAATGGTGGTAGGATAAATCTTTTGTTCATTGAGAATGAGACCATCTCCTGGTTTTACTTCGCCAAGCAATCTTGCGGATATCAATAATCTGCAATCGTCTATGTTTGAATATCGAACACAATCGTGCAAATAATCACGACTCTGATCAGTATCAACATTTAGCTTAAGTTGATGTGCTACTTCTGTAATTGCTGAATCGTTCACATCGTCTGAATCTGACGCATCTGTGAGTTGTTGATAGAGGTCACGAATTGTTCTGAAATGTGCTTCATGAAAAGTCGAACCCGATTGCAAATATTCGGTGATAGGTATCTGTCGTTGGTTCGTCATCGTCACTGAATGAATTTTGTTTTTTGCAAAATATATATACTTTCAATTAAGACAGAAAAAATAAGAAAAAGGTTTTTAAAAATAAACCAGCATTGAGAGAACATATAAAGAGCCTCGATTTCGTTTTTCTTTCCCTTCTTTATTTAATCTCGTTGTATTTGGTCTTTTTCCCATGTTGCAACGTCATTCTATCGAAAGAAATACTTGCAAATCAACGGACTCGACCTTGCAAATATCTCTACGTACTTTTGTCCGCGACGTCGACGCTTTATTTCCAAATCATTTTAACGTTTTCGCTTGATCTCTCCATATAAAAACGACTTGAAGAATTCATTGCTGTACAGGTTTTATAGGACAGAATAATGACTCAGTCAACGGAGGAGGCACATGACGTGACGTTTGATCAAGACATCAAAAGCCAAACCGATCAACAATCTCACGCGAAAGAACCACAGCATCAAAGCGACGATGAAATACAGTATCTTGAAATTCAGTTACTTGAAGCGAAGAATGAAGAAGCAGTGATCTATGCTCAAATAAAAGAATACGGAGATTTCGTCGAGAAACACAAATGTGAATTGCGTCAACTTGACGACAAACTCGAGGGACTCAACAATGAAATCCAACGAATCGAACAAGAACACGATATCGTACACGATGAGCAGTACCGACTCAAAAATGTTCGTCGACAACGAGAACAAGAACGTCATTATCTTAAAGAAGAATTCTACAAAGAAGAAAAAGAAACGGGACGACTCCGTGAACGATTAGATGAACTAGAAGAGAAAAGGTTTCATTTAAACGAGCAACGCGATAATTGGGAACAAGAACATCAGCAGATCAAACAGATAAATCAAGCGATCGACCAGCAAATTCAGCAAGTCGAACAACAATTGAGACAATTTAACACACGTTTGAATCAATTGAAGGAGGAGATCTTACAAATTGAATATGATAATGAACAATTTCAAAATTATTTACGAGAGCTTGAACAAAAATTGGCCACAGTCGAACAGGAACGTACCAAACTAGAGCTTCGAATACATGAGAATGAATTGTCTTCTGCTAAAGCCCGAGACGAAATAAACAAACTCGAAAGCATTATTCGACGAATTGAGAACATGATCGATATGAAACGAAATCGGCAAGACGAATTAAAACAATACACAGACAAATTGCAGAACGATCATACGCAAACACAACAGCAGATATTTCAAGCTACGCAAGACATTAATGGTACCGAAGAGAGAATGAAACTGTTACAAGATAATACTGAACGAGTTCAAATTGAAGTGAATACATTGAGAGAAGAGATTGCCGAAAGAGAACGATTAGTACAGCAGCTACTCGAACAAAAACAACGACTTATGTAAGTCAAATGGTGACAAAATTGGAATTTCTAGTTCAAAATTATTCGAATCAAGCACTTAAGAGAGAATTCGTGAGACCATCGAGTATCATATCAATATACAAGATACTCGATAAATTTCTTTTTCGAATCTTTTGCTCATTCAACGCATCAATCTCTAAAACCACCTACCCTACAATTTTAGGTTATACTCATGTAGCCGATTTTTAGAAATAATGTACATTCAAATGCATTATTTTTCATTAGAAATTCAATGGATGCAATTACATGATTTCTTGTAATGCATTATAATACATTGATGAGTTTATATTTTCCCTCCTTCTCACCACATTCATATAAATATAGCAATAGATCTAGACCCTTTCCCAATGACCTTAACCCTATATCGCTACACATGTATCCTTATCCTAATTCCTCTATTACTATCCATATGCTCTTAATGTGTGGTAGACATGAAGTAGTCATGCGGCTCGAGGATAACAGTGATGTCCAGTTTGATTATGATGAAGTACAGAATTTTTTCTCCTTCGTTTTTGATACAGTCGCATCGATATCCCTTGAATCCATACACCTATGGCCAAAAGCCATGGCTAAATATTTATGTCTACAGCAATAGATGCATACCAATATATCTAATTGCTTTGGATATTTGTTCGATGGGGGGCTGAACAATATACAGTAAAACCTCTCTAATCTGAACACTGTCGGTACTTTGAAACATCGTTCAGATTAACAGCGTGATCACATAGGAGGGAGTCTGTAGAAATATAGAGATTTTTCGAATCTAATGACATCTATTTGTTCATTTCCTTTGATATGTTCTAGTTTATTTATAAAAATTTTCTTTATCGATTTGCCTTACAAAAAAAGATTTATTTCATAAGATTTCCATGAGCATCAACAAGTATATATTTGAAATAAATTTCTTGACTTAAATCATTTTTAAATTTTATTTTTATTTTTTTATTTCGATGGGTTTCATCATCATTTATATACGTACATAGGGCAGTCAGAAAGTAATTATGATCATAACGAAGGAGATAGATTAGCTTCAGTCTCTTGATGCATTTTATCAACAATCGAAATATACCATAAGATGCAATGTGAAAAGCTCTATATTTTATATAAGACCAATTATTTTCAAGTCACACGTTTTGTTTTCAAAATACACAGAGTTTTGAGAAACCAAATTTTGAGCATGGCGAAAACTAATCACACAGAGTTTTACTTTTGATGAAGACAACTACAATAAGCTTTACTGTGAAAATTGTAGAGTTTTTCACACTGCATCTTATGGTATATTTTGATCCTTGATACAATGTGTTAAGAAACTGAAAACTGTGTTTCAAACTTACATCCAGTGGATATGGTAGCGAAAAAAACTCTTATCGAAAATTTATTATCATTAGATAAGTTGAAGTATGATCAAATAGCATAGAAAAATGAAGCATTGCTTTCTCTATCAGACTATATAGAAAGAAAGGTTTTTAAAGTTTCTTATGAGAAACTAAAGTATCATTCTCATTACTTTTTGACTGCCCTATATATATTTACACTTGCGTTTCAGTACGTTCGAGACATCACCGAGAGATATTTGGAATTTCTCATTCAGTTATCGATGAGAAACACCCTATTCTTTTTCTTTTATCAAATTCATTTTTTTCAAGACAAGGTTCTTGACGAGTTGTCATATGTCATAATGAACAATTATCAAACAAACAAAAATAACATTCAGTTCATTATTCACATATGATATTGATTATGTCTATTGTCTCTTTCCTTTTTTATAACCAATCATAGAATAAGCCAATTGGATGCATGGCGTTAATTCGATGGCAGATGGTGCTGTCTGTCACTTCATATTACAGAGATTGGATTTACATGGTGAGGACTGAAATAAAGCGTTCACATTCAGAATGTCGAGGTGATCATAAAAGAGGGTCAAAAGCAGCACAATTCAGTCGGTCGGATCGAAGGGTGTTCAGTATAACGGGTTGATCACTTAGGAGGGGTGTTCACTAATAGAGGTTTTACTGTATATAGAACAATAGAAATATATGATGTGGTTTTATCCTTTGATAAATTGTCAGCGGACTCATATGGGGTCTTTCACGATATTATAGAAATATTTTTCACAGATAGCGCACTGTTACACTGCGGGTGTCGGTGTGAGGTGTGGATATGGGTGTGTGGAATCGGGGTGTGTGTGTGGGGGGGGGGTATCTTTTTCTACACTTATCCACACCTTCATCCATATCCATACCCACACCCCACACCCAGTGTGGGTGTCGAAGTGTAAGTGAGGGAGTGTGATTGGGGGATAGAGGTGTAACAGCTCTCAGATCAAGGGTACGGGTGGTTGTGAATGTTTGGGATCGGGATGGGGTTGGAGGTGTCTTTTTCTACACTTATTCACACCTTCCCCACACCAACACTCTCATCCCTATTCCCATCCACACACATAGACCCTCAACCATATACCCACCCATATCCACACCCACATCCTCATGCACCATTCGGAAGGAGCCCAAAATTCTGATTCGAATCAGGTGTTTAATCTTTCTGGTAACCCTCTTAATCGATCGAAAACTGTAGGAACATTCTGTCTAGAAACTTTCGGTCCGGCCGCTGTCTCAATTTCTCTACTGATACATCTAATATTTCGTTGAAATTTTCACCTAGTTTATGACTAAAACTTAAGGTACTTGATGAATGTTGTAAAAATAGATAGATGTATCGAATTCTGTATGAAATCTGTTCCTCATTTCAATTTTCATGATTGCGCATTCTGTATTAGACTATTTAGTGCATGCATATTCAATATACAGGGTATATCATAATTATAGACCCCCTGATATGTACATAGAAAAATGTTTATTTTATTACAATAAAGAATGATATTGATCTGCTAGGTGCACATCTATGTGAGACTAATTACGTACTATTTGATGCTCTAGCATCTCTCTTTTATCTCTTGTTTTTTGAAGAAAAAAATTGGAGACAACTGGAAAATGCCTGTAACATAATTATAGACCCCCCTAACAAAAAAACATCTTTTCTAATCTTTTGAAGCGTCCCAAACCTGCAGTTTTAATATTTCATTGCTATATTAACTGTTTTCTACCTTTTTCATTTTATTGGGAGTTTTCTCAGAAATATTTTACTTCAAAAGTTCAAGATTTCAGACATTTGTTGGACTTTCGTCATATGCTAGCCAAATTCTGCTAATAGATATTCTTTCATATGCCGTATTCCATTAAAAGTAAGAAAATGGATGTTGTGTCTCGAAATCATACTAATAGAATAGAAATTGAAAAGGATTTGGCTTGATAAAACTAGTAGATTCTTCTGTTCTGTAATGATTCTTTCAGAAAACTTTCAATTACAAGGTCAATTTTAACTAATGAACCAAATCCAATAGTATGGTTAGAAAGAGCAAATCAAGTTGTACTTAACATATATATGTAAAACCTAATAAGAAGTACAGCTTTTTCAAAAGCTCTGACATATACACATGAGATGGACTATTTATAACAGCACCGTGGAAATAGCTGCTATCAAAATAATGTCTCTAGTACAACTCATAGACAAATAAAATCGAACTTTTGTACTTTCTTGTCATCAATGGAGATGTATCCTTCTGAACAGCTGAGCAAAGTTGGTCCAGACCTTCCTGCTGAGGAATTGTCAGATAATTTCTTTTATCTCTGTTCTTACGGTGCTGTTATAAATAGTCCATCTCATGTGTATATGTCAGAGCTTTTGAAAAAGCTGTACTTCTTATTAGGTTTTACATATATATGTTAAGTACAACTTGATTTGCTCTTTCTAACCA